CTTGAAAATTGAATCGAGCTGATTGAAGATTATGCGCCGGATAGGACCTCGCCTATGCCAGAGGATAATCTCTCATCAGCTGCTGCCGCGGCCCAGTGATGGGGCTTCATTACACGCCCCCCTCCCCCCCCCACCGTGCTGGAGACATTGAGAGGCTTTGCTGTTTAATTACTGACACAGGACTGACACTGACATGAAGTGTGGGGGGGTGGATAGGGACTAGGGCATAGGGAGGGCAGAGTGAGTCTGGAAAGGGGGTTAGGGGGGATTTGGAAAATAGAAACAATGAGATTTTGTTTGGGCTCTGGCCCATGGTGCTTTGTGCTTGTCATTGTCACCGTGGTGTTTCTTAAGCCTCCGCCAGCCACAGATCCAAACTCACGCCCCTCGTCCGTCCATGCACCCCCCGTACAGCACGCCGGAGCCCTTCCGGAGCGGCTCCTCCCAGCGAGGTTCTGGAGCTTGGTCATGGGATTTCCCCGGATCCACAAAACGACGACAAGCTTCCCACAGGTGGGCTGAGACATAATGGGAGAATATTAAACTTGATATTTCATACATATCAGCCACTTTCAGCAGAGGATTTTTTTTTTTTGGTCGTGGATCGTGATTGGTTAGATCAGGAGTGGGTCCTGTGTGCCGATTGGCTGTCCGGTGCTCGACGCGTTGCCATCGTCGCATGTTGCCCGGGCGCTGCAGTAGATGCCAGCTGCTGGGTTTGGGAGGGGGGGGGGCGATGTCTGTCACTGAGGCTTTTGAGCCCTGCTTCCCTTCTACTGCCATCTCCTGGAAACCTCAGAATTCCCTCTGAAAGGCCCTCTGGCCTGAGAAGAGGGCCGCCCCCCTTTTTAGAGAATGGCAGCTTTGTCTAAGCAGGCGTTTCCACTGTCTGCGGGGGGGGGGGGGGGGGGGGGGGGTGGGCTGTCTAATTACAAATTAGCATGGTCTTGTGCGAAATGGAGGTCCCTCACTGTCTGGAATGGAGATGGGGGGGTGAGCCAGGGCGGGCATCTCGCAGCACTGACTCGCGGCACTGACTCGCGGCACTGACTCGCGGACCTCTCGCCGGCTTCTTCCCGCCGTCAGGCCGGCCTTTCAATAACCTCCGAATAAATTAAGGGGGGGAAAAAGCGACTCTAAATTCACAGCGCGCACGGAGCTGCGTTCAGCTTTTTGTGTGCGTGCGCTGTTTTGTCTGGCTTCTTGATTAGCAGGAATAAAGGGCCCGTTGTATCGGACACTGGACGTGAGAGTGGCGGGTCGCATGAGAAGCCAAGTCTGTCGCGGCGGCAAACACCGGTGGGCGGGTCTAATGGAGACTGTCGTTTTGTTATTTTTTTTTTTGTTTTGTTTTTTTTTCGTTTTTGAGGCCCATCATTCACCGAGATTGAGATGTCGCCCCGACTATATCGTCTTGGCCATGGGAAGCGGTGTCTGTGATGGCTCCGGGGTTGTCACGGCGACGGAATCATTACCTCCAATATCTTTTACTTTTTGAAAAGCCCCTGCTTAACTTCCCCTTCCCCATTCTTTGCGCTTTCACAGAGAATTCGGCCCCTTGAGTGGAAGAATGAGGGCGCAAATTGAGTTTGACGTTTTTATTTCACCTCCCTAACCCAGGGTGTTTCCTTCCCCTGCCAAATTTTAGATATTCTCATTAATTTCGGCTCTGGTGGAGGTTAGGTTTAGAGGAGCAGGAGATGGGAAAGTCGGCATGATGCAACTGAAGGAAAATATGATCTCAGGTCTACGGGCCTTAATTATTGTGTCTGTAGTACGAATATAGATGTAAGAACGTGCTTGTAAGTCGACTGCAATCTGCAGCTTTGCGACGGCAAGACGTTTTTGCCGCGACAATGTCCGTGACGGGAGCTGGGCTGATCCTCTTATCTTGTGTTGCCTGATACCACGTTGTGACTACGGAGGCCCAGAGAGGACATCAGCAGCAGAGAGTGCTGTTGGGTAGGAATAACCTTTGAAGCTATGTTTCCAAACTAGGCTTGGGCTAGTGTGCTGGAATCAGCACTCTGCAGGTTCTGCGTTCTCTGGAGCTTTTGCCCCAGTCCTGGGCGCCTGACCTTTGCAACCCCAGCTTGTATCCCCTGAAGGCCGCAGCAAAGGGGTCAATTTGTGTCAGGGAATGTGAATTGGTTTGTTGATTTGCACTTAAAAAAAGAGGTCAAGAAGGTTTGATTGCTTTTCAGGCTAAATAATTCTATTTACATTTGTTATGTTGTTGGCATATTGATTATATCTTTCCTTTGTTGTCCTTTTTTTGGATTTAGTCTATAAAACTGGCAGCACATCCATTTTTATGGTGTACCCTTATTATTGTTTTTTGGAACATTAGACTGACCCTTGGTTCCTGACCCTAAGGTCTGGGAATAGTCTGTGGGATGCTGAAGTCTTTGTGTGCATCTATGGTGGAGCCGTGGGTGACCTCAGAGTACTGACCCATGCTTACAGGGTTTCCACCCCCTGCTCCTGACCCTGCTGGTGCTGGCACCAGACTGCTCAGTGGGCCTGCTCAGACCCATGACCTGGTTGCACCTTAATTTCCTTAACGTTTGTTTTTTGTGGAAGTGGGGGATGTACAGTATATACCATACTAATGCTCCACCATAACATCACAGTAATGTTATTTAAACACCCTAACTGCTCACATCGATAGTTTTATCTGACCTTAATACACTACACTTATTTTGCATATGTGATGCATAAGCACTAAGTCATCACCAGGTGGCTAGCTTTGATATCATGGCCTGCTATTTTAACACTTGTCATTGCGCCCTGTGTCCACAAGAGCGGCGCTGAAACAGTACCAGAATCAAAACCTCATTGTTGGCCCAAGACCTTTGGCTTTGAGCCTCTTCAGGCGATGCTGAGTGCAAAACAAGTTTCTGTGAACACATCAAAACATACAAAGCCAGAAATATATTTAGGTTAATTATATTATTCCTTCTTAAAGTTAATTTTGTGACCACCTGCCCTTTCATATCCGACAACTAAAGCCATCTAATTTCCGGAACAACTGTAAACTGAAGATGTAAGAAGCGGACTGTGCTTTGTAAAGTTTAAAAGATTAAAGTTTAGATAGCATTTAGAAACTGAAAGAAAAAGTGTACTTCACCCACCGGAATCCCAAACATACACTGCTCAATTGCAGGTCAAAAAAATTTGATTGCTAACACTGATGTTTTTCAGGATCAGTTCAGTTTATTAAAAACAACAAAGGGTTTTCTAAATCAGGGGCACAGCTTTTTAAATGCCCAGCGAGTCCTCGCTCTCTTCCCCTCTCTCCCCATCTTGTTCAGAATTTTCTCATTTGTAAGTCTGTGATCAATTCCACTGCTCTTTGCGCATGAGCTTGCATTGGATGAAGGAGGCCCATGTCCATCCAAATGTACGCCTATCTGGTTTTTAAATTGGTGCCGTAAATTATTGTAGCAATCCGTTAGGGGCTGACTTTTAATAAATTCAGGGAAGACATTTTTATGCTAGAGAGGATCACATTTAGTACATCAAAAATCTCCTAAGGGAACAGTCTCCCTCAGGGGCCTCGCATATGGTGCTCAGCACCAAAGAACTGAAATCTCTCTAAATAAGTTAAAAAGGAATAAATTATACATCACATAGTGTAAAACCCACTTAGCAACACAATGGCCTAATTCAATCAAACCACTATGCTGTTTACCCTGACCAGATAGCAAATAATTTAAGCTATTTACCAGCTATAATTTGAAAAATGTAGTCAAAAGTATATTATAACATAATATGAGAATACCAACCATTTCATAATAAAATATTAGAATATAAACAGCATTGTATTATTTGCCTAATCAAGTCAATGACTGTTTAGTTCAGATCGATAAAACATGTTACAAGTAACATCGTAATATTTTAACTATGCACTTCAAACAGAAAATTACACGATTTCTCTGCAGTCAATCGACTCCCTGCTTTATTGTCTGATTAAAGATAATGTCATGACTTACAGAAACGCCCAGTTAAAGCATAATTGATGAAATCACAAGTTACGTCAATGTGCTGTATTTACACTCACAAATGACCAAATATTATTAAATGTGTGTGTCATATATATATATATATATATATATATATATATATATATATATATATATATATAAATTATTATAATTATTATAATTATATAGAAATGTAATCAGCTTCAACACTGGATCATGCAACGTACAGCACGGGAAATATATTTTTAACAACTTGAGTTGGATTTTAGTAATATTGAAGCCGAAAACATATTTATTTTTACTTAGAAGCGTTTTTTTTTATTAGGTTTGATACAGTAACTGCAACACGAGGACGAATTTGATCTTAACGGCATTTCTGTTTGGCAAGAAATTAACTAATTCCTAAAAGTATTGAAAAAAAATATGAGGTGACTGTGAGCAGGGCAAGTCCAGACGTGAAATCAGCCGAGGCGCTGACGGCATTTAGCTGATCAGCGGGAAATGGATCCCCGCCGGGCGGCCACGTGGTGCGCGACGCCCAGACTGTCAAACCGGGCCGGCAGGTAAGCGACAGGTGCAGCGGACGCGATCATCGAGCCGCATTTACACCTGTGAGGACGACTTGACTGTCACCTGCCTTATATATAATACACATTGATCTCTTTAGTGCATTTGGCCAGAGGTTTTCATCTGCCAGTTATTAGCAGATATTGCATTTTTAAAATGTACATGACATTATTAACTTTACCTATGCTTTACATGGTAAGCGAATGGAGTTTCTCCCGACAGACACCATGAACACCGCATCGTGCGGCCGATTCCTGCAATCCGCGATCGCAGGTACAGATCAAACGTGAAGCTGCTTCTTGTGCATCCCGTGTGTTTCGGGCGATCAAACCTTTGGTGTGAAGTTTTTCTTTAAAAAAAAAAGGGGGGGTGGGGGGCATGCAATGGCTCCCCTCGTCAACACACAAAAAGAAAATAAAAAAATAATCAGACGCTGCCATGGCCATCTTCGCAGTCCTCTGCGCGACATCTTTATTTTCTTTCGTTTCTTTTTCCAGATAATGGACAGCACTGGAAAAAAAGTACGAATATAAACTGGGGTTTTATTTTATTTTTGCGAAACTGCGGCCGTTTAATATAGCAAGATACTGTTTTCCACTATAGCAGTCAGAACTTAAGTCGACAGTGGGGAAATGCATTGTCTGTAACGCACAAACTCGGTATAAAGTGAAGATTAAATTGTTAAAAGTGGGGTAATAACACACTGAAGTTGTTCCCCGGTAATGGGGGGATTTGCTGGTGTTTAATTTTTAGAAGGGCGCTGGGATGTTGCGGGGAGCCTCTTGTTTGTCTGCGTCGCTGTGAATCACTGTTCACCTTAAATGAACCCGTGTAATCCGGAGCCGAACCCGCACGGAGCGCCTCCGCCGCCTGAAATTGTCGCCGCTGCGGTCGCTGGCGGCCAGCTTCTCTCGGCAAGAAAAATAAATGATAAACGCATTTTCAGGGGGAAATGTGTTTGCCTGCTGATGACGGTCTGAACCGCGGACCGTGAGACCAACTGAGCCGCCGAGTCTCCCCGCCGTTCCGGGCTTTTTCCTGGCGGACAAAATGAACCGGGGTGGGGGGGTGCTTGTGAAGAAATGACATTTCTGCCTGGTTTAGAGGTCAAGGTGTATATCGCCGTAAACTTTCAGCTGAGAAAAGCCTGATATTTTGGATCTAAAATTGTGGTGATTTTTCCCCACTCCATGTGTTTCCCCTCCGAAAAGGAAAGTAGGCTGCTTCATTAAAGTACACCGAGATGTTGCTGCTGCGGCGTAATAACGTAAGTTTTTGCTTTTAAGTCCTCGACATATTTATAGGATCACACATTTGTGATACTATTATTTTATTTTATTTTATTTTATTTATACAGTAATATAATTCGTCATTGTGTTAACTTGTGTTAGCTTGCTGATATTTGCTGATTCCTTTTCAACATATTGCACCATGTTCTGAAAATGTATAAATGAAGCCTACTTTCCTCTAAATTTTGTAAACATGTAAAACTGGAGGAAATCGTTCATGCACAGTTTGCGTATGCCACGTTTATATTGGATGTATCAGTACACAGTGCTCATATGACCATAATTATTTGTAAAGTTGGAAGTTACAGCGAATAACGCAATAATAATTCAAATTATTAGTCGGCTCACTGTTCAACCGAAAATCCAAATTTTAATGTTTGTTTTTTCAAAGTATTGATATAAATTTATGAAATTTAACTCTCCAAATTGACTTATATTTTGCTCCAAACAAAGATTGCCACATTCTAAGTTTTGGACCCTTTTATTCTAGGTAAAAATAATGTCAAATTGTGGTGGTGTGTTATAGTGTTGCATGACCCTAATGTATTAAAATACTTTTTGGAGCATTTAATAAAAATTAAAAATTACCCAAAGTCTAATCTGTGTGAACCAGCTTTTCCTGAAACTAAAAAGTGTGAGTTTCTGCGCATGTTGCATTGTTTAAGAAATTTGTTAAGAAATGCATAAATCACTACTAAGTATAATAATAGGAATTTCAGCATTTCAAACTTAAAATAATGCTTAATTCTTAAAGCTACACATTATTAATTTTTCTTTCAGAATTTTTGAAAACATTTTACATAAGTATATGTGTTATTTTTATATTTGCTGTTCTGTTTGCTTTCAATTTAAACTGATGGGATTTATGCAGTGTTACAATATATTTAATAGGATATATTTTTGCATCATCTATTTACTTGTCTGTAATTTTCATTTATGCAAATATGTTGTATATTTATAGGCTTTATTTCAGTATGACCGATAATTGACGATGAACTTAAGAGATATTTTTGCTTAAATGTTTTACTTTCTTGTGTATTTCAGAAATCTAAAGTGATACAGAATTCTCCTGGATCTTCACCCTCAGCTTGGGGTTTGCTTCAGAAAAGGTAGGTACGCTGTACCGAAACGCTTTCTGTCTGTTTGAGAAATGTGGCATCGCATTCACACAAGAGCAAAAACATAGAGGAAGACGAGGGATACACAGCAGGCTGACAATATAGCTAAATAAAATATTATAATTTCAGCTGAATGTTAGCAAACCTGGTTTCGAATTTTTTGAGACAACTTCCAAAGTTTTAAAATAAGCCGTATATTGAACAATAATAACATTTAAACACATTAAATTTTTTTCCTCAGTATATATTTATATTTTGGTATTTTAATGAAATTTTTAAATACCACGTTAGAATGATTTTTGTGTTGACAAATTTAGTGTTATAAAGAAGAAGTACAAGTTTTTTTGTATGTAACATGCGTCATTAAATATATGCTGATTCCCTTAAAGTTTTAGGTGAATACAGGTATATATTTTGCCCATATCGGTCTGTAGTGGGGGTAAATGGCTTTCCAAATAATTAATGGATATTTGAGATGAATTGTAAATGCAGCAGAGTACAGACTGGAGGCTGATGGTGTTTTGTAACGCTGTTTTGTACCGCTGTTTTGTACCTGTGAGGGTATTCTTCGTCCTGTCGCCGTCGCTGTATGTCGGCCCTGGGCCCCTCCTTTGCCGCTTGACTCTGCTAATCGCAGAATAATTAGGTTTGCGTTCAGCCTCCTTGGTGAGCTGTATATCTCTGTTGTGTGGCTTTGCAGTCAGAGAGCTGGGACACTGTGTTTTGGGGACATATCCTTGATTAAACGGACCCCCCCCCCAACCTGTGATTTATTGCTCTTTTGCTACAAGAGAATTATTTTTTGCTATCAATACACCCAAAATGTCCTCAGATTTAGTCAATATACCATTGTTGCAATATAATTTCTCACAGAATGCATGGTATCTCTGAAGAAAGTCATAATATTCAGCTAGCAATTATCCATTTGGTATTTAAATGTGATCCTATTCTTCACCTGTCACGTTTATGTTGACAGTAAGCACTGTAAATTTCACTGTGTTTTATTTATTTATTTATTTTAAATGACCTCCTGCTGGTGGTGAATTTTGAACTGGTGATATATGGGTATGTGAATTGCTTTTCTTTTTTTTTAAACCAAATTAGGCTAATTGGGTTGGAGTTTGGGGGACGATAACTCCTGAGGTTCAGATTTTCGATAGTTCTGGAATGGAGCCCCACCTTGTTTTTGAGAAGACGGTGCCCCATTCTTAGAGGAACTGAAAAGCAGTTACTGACGGGGTAAAATATAATGTTAGTGAGTTATTTAAGATATGGAAGAATTAGCTGCCTGGAATGTTCTGTTTTGTTTATTAAAATTTTGTTTATATATTTTTAAATTGATGAATGGCCAAACAGGTGTATGCTACATGTATCCCTTTGGCACTGTGCTTATTTTGATCTGAGCGTGTAGCTGAAATGTAAACGTTCGTTAATTCTCTGTTAGCCGCTGCACTTCTGCAGCTCGGGGCTGCAGTGTTGCATGTAAGCATTTTCGATTGGTCGGGAGTTGCGAATGAAGGCCTGGCCGGCGGGCGAAGGCTGCGTTTTTCTCCAGGGTGATCTGCTACGACTGGCTGGCAGTGTGTGTTAGATATGCTGTCTGGTGGCAGCTCATGAGTCTGCAGAAAGGCGCCCGTCGCCCGTCAGAGCACTGCCCTGTCTGGTGCCACCCAAAGCTCTGCACGCTGCCCCAGGTCACCCCCCAGCCAAGCTGAAGTTGAACGGTGTCGGCACAGGGCTCAGCCGTCGTCAAACCCCGCACCCATGGTGGCGTCGCGGCTCACGGTTAGGCACGGAAAGCCGATACGGCACGCATGGCCTGTGCCGCAGAAAGCCACGTGTGACGTTTCGCCGTTAGCTGCACCTGATCCTCACACCCTTCCTTAGAACAGCTGATCGCCAAGTATGCGAGACAAGCAAAATCTCCCACAATGCATCAGTTAGCCTCTTACTGTTGGCCCGGTTTCTAAAACCGGACAGCAGGTGAGACTCCGGTTCCAGCCAGGTAGACGCAGGTCCCCGGCGACAGGGCGAACCCTGCCATTCAACCCAACCTGCTTCCGGGTCGGGCTCTGGGTGTAGGTTGGCACCGGGTGTGAACTGTAATATCCACAGGCTGGTTTGGTTTAGGGCGTTTCAGGGAAAATGAGTATCGCATGCCGTTAATACTCGTTATCGGGGAGAAGTTAGTGCTTGTCTGATTTTTTTTTTTTCAGTTATGTTTTAAACAAGGTAATAAGGTAACATTATATTTATAAGCCTGGATTTTTTTTGGTAGTTTAATGCATTAATTCAAAAAAAAGATTATTCAGCAATGTGATCCTGAGTACCATTTTGATCCCCGGTATTATAAATCGTGCCTCATTGTTAGACGGTTTGAGACAGTAATACTTTTTACGTTTAATATTTCACTGTACAGCAGAAAACAGATGCTAAAAATAAGCAAGATTATTTTTATTTGAACCTGCGGCCGATTCAGTTTTTAAGAGGCACAGCCCTCCGAAACGTCGCATTTTTTTCTCCCCCCCCCCTCTTTAATAGGGCTTCGGTTTTTGCTGCTGAATCGCAGGTGTCAGCGCGGGGTGTATCACTGTACAATGGCCTCTTTTTTAAAAAACCACTGGCATCCTGCTCTCCTCTGCTGGAAATTTTGCTCTGTGGGCTGAGGCACAGAAAGAAGAAGGGGGGAAAAAAGGGACATGGCTGCCCCCCCCCCCATCCATTAGTGAGGCAGTCCCAGCTGTGGTGGAGAGAGACTGGCTGCTGCAGGCCAGTGTTGTGGAGCACAGATGCCATGGAACAAGCTGGTCACGTGATTTTTTTTTTCCTGGGGGGGGGGGGGGGTGTTGCAGAAACTGTAAATGGCCGCCCGTCACTGCTCTACGTGTAAAGTGGCTGTACAGCAGAGCCGACTGGCCGCCCCAGGGCCTGTGAGGGATGCTTCACGTCGTCGGCGCCCCCTTGGTGTTTTTGTTGTGCCCCCCCCCCCACCCCCAAAGTCCGCCTTACAGGATCTGACAGAAGAGCGTGTGCAGTTCATTTCAGGACAGAGAAATGCTTTTCTTTCCAGTGTGAATCATTTTGGAAAAATGAGCCCCTGGACTGAATTGCCCCTGCATTTTGGCATGATTCTCCATAGTTCTTTATTGTCTATTTTGGCTGAACTCGCAGCTCGTCGCATTCTGCCAAGAAAACTTCAGGTCCTTTAAAGATACAGCGAGCAAAGCCAGTTCCTGAGTCAACCACGTCCTGTTAGCAAATAAAATAAATCTCCGTAGAGTTTCTGCAATTCCTTCCTGTCCAATTCAAAATTCCAAAGGGAAGCAAGTTGTTTTTCTACATTTGTGGAGGCATATGATTTTTATAAAGCTTTAAAGTTTTTATGCATCTTTCAGGTGCTTGTGTGTCACTGGTATTACTGCAGCTTCCACGTCGCAAAGTGTTGTGTGTGTGTTTTTTTTTTCTCATTTGATAAGTAAACAGGTTTTCCACGAGGCCCCCAGCCTCGTCACGTGCCCACCGCCCCTGGGCTGTATGCTCAGGTCCACAACAGTTAAGTTGTTTTGCAAACAACCCTCCTCAGATCTTGGTGTCTCTGGCGGGGTGGGGGGCGGCGGGGGCTTAATGCCACTGTCTTCCCCAGCCATGGCGTGCATTGCTGTTTTCTTTTCTTGCCGAGTTTTAGATGATGAGGTCGCACAAGCTTCTCTCAACGTGGCAGGCCGTGTGGTTGGGATTCCTCAGTGTTTATGGGCACGTCTGTAGTGCGACAGCTACCTCACTAAAGCATGACGAGACGGCCCCTTTCACTGGGCACTGGCGGGCTTTGATCGCCCTTGTGAGCGGGGATGAAAATGGAAGCACGCTGACTGCCTGCCTCCCTCTCTGAGGTGGGAGCAGCTGAGATTCCCCGTTTCATTGGCCGAGGGGAAAGCGGAGAGTCCTCCCCTTGTCCCGCTTCTGAACGAATGGAATCGGATCTTGCTCGATGATGTCGCAATGACAGCCGTGCTGCGTTAGAAACCCCAGACCTGGAAACGGTCATTACCTGTAATTCTAATGACATATGATTCAACCAGAAAACTGATCTTTCATCTTTTGTGCAGTTTTGCCGAATGATGTTTGTTCTATTTGCTGCCGATAAAGTGATATCTAACTGATTTTTTTGTGGCTTTAAATGTATTTCAAAAAGATGTAGATGTTTATGTTTACCTCACAAAAAAAAAGAAAACATAGACAAGATCTTTCAAACAATAAAATTTGGGATCTTTTCTTGCACTACAAAGCTTAAATAATTTAGTTTGAATCACTGCTTACCTCACACAATAGCTTACGCTTTGACGGGTGTCATGTTGTGTCGGTGATTCAGTCACCGATGACTGACTGGAAAAGGTGTTTCATCCTGTTTCCATGTGATTCAGATTTTGGCGGCTTTAGGAAAATCACACTCAGTTGAATTCAACTCTTTTGTTTGTGTGTGTGTGTGTGTATGTGTGTATATCTATAATATATAATTATAACACCTTTTCCAACAAGCCCCAAAGTGCTTAACAAAGTATCAAACGAGTGTCACTTGCTGGAACACAACAGTTTGGGGTAACAATAGTGTAAATGAATAGTGAATAACAGCCAGAGGACAATGAAGAAAAGAAAAGAAAACTCCAGTGTTTGATATCAGATAAAAAAAGCCATTGGTGCCCAAGGCCAGTGAGCTGCCTGGCTTCCCTGGGCACTCTGACGATAAGCGTGCGGTGCCCCTGGTGCCACCTGCAGAGGACCGTGTTCCGGATGCTTCTGCTGCGGGGACCTTCAAGCTGGTCGTGCTCTAGTGGGTATCAGAGCAGGTCCGACAGCCAGTAACAAATAGTGCAGGTGCAGCTATCGGGAGTTGTTTTCTAACTGATGCTTTATTTGCCATTTGCACAAGTACGGCTATGTTGGAATGCTTCATTTCCATTATCCCATCATGCTCTCCTCCGAGACGCACGCATGTACAGTTGAGAGTGAAGCTTGGCGTCCATGAGCAGGGTCAGGCCATTTATTAAGCACTCCTGGGGGAGGTTAAGGCCCTTACTCAAGGACCTATTGGACATGTAATGATTCTGCCAAGGATGGGATTCGAACCGTGACCATCCCATCACAGGCACAGAGGCCGTTTGATGAGATGCATCTAACCAGGGTTAGGATATGCTTTGAGTTTGTTGGAAAACTGTGTTTTAAAAGATTAAGTTTGGAGGGGCATTCAGAATGGCTATTTCTGTCATCATGCTGTTTTTATCGGTCTTCTGCCAATGATGCAATGGACATCAGGTTCCTCTGTGACGTCTGTCTACACATCGTGTTCTGAAGCCTGTTGACGTCCAGCCCGCCAAGTCTCTGATACGCCCTGGTTCCGCGGCAGCCGAAGAGCATCAGTTCATTACAGTGCGTGTTCAGACAGGCCAGAGGAATCCTTGTTTAACCCCAGAACAGAGTTTAATCTGACAGCCGCTCTATTTTTATTTGGTGTGACAGGCAGTAACTTAGTGTTCATTGCATTTTGGGGGCATGGCTTTATCAGGGATGAAAGACAGTCATGTTACAACTGTTGGTGGGGGGGAGGGCATGTAAACTAACTCGCTGTTTTGGCATTTGAGTTTGTGGACGCTAGAGAGTGCCAGAAACTTTCCGGGTTCAATGACGATTGGCCAACCAGGTGGCACAGTGGTTGAGTATTTGGACGTGTAACCTAAAGACTGCCATGAATAGTCTTTTGGTGGAACCCCTGATCTTGGGACATCACTTGAAATAGTCCAGCTGACCTGAATACTCAGGAATGATCGGGTGGATGGGTGAATGCCAAGGAAGGATTGGATGAATGCTCAGGAATGAATGGGTGAATGCTCAGGAATCATCGGTTAAATGGGTGAATGCTCAGGAATCATCGGATGAATGCTCAGGAATGCTTGGGTCAATGGGGGAATACTTAGGAATGCTCGGATAAATGCGAGAATGCTCAGGAATCCTCAGGTCAATGGGGGAATGCTCAGGATTGATCGGGTCAATGGGAGAATGCTCAGGTCAATTGAGGAATGCTCAGGAATGATTGGCTGAATGGATGAATGCTCAGTAATGATTGGGTGAACGCTCAGGAATGATTGGTTGAATGGGTGAATGCTCAGGAATGCTCAGGAATGATTGATTGGGTCAATGCTCAGGAATGATTGGTTGAATGGATGAATGCTCAGGAATGATCGGGTGAATGCTCAGGAATCATCGGTTAAATGGGTGAATGCTCAGGAATCCTCAGGTCAATGGGGGAATGCTCAGGATTGATTGGGTGAATACTCAGGATTGATCGGGTGAATGCTCAGGAATGATTGGGTGAATTGGTGAATGCTCAGGAATGATCGGGTGAATTGGTGAATGCTCAGGAATGATCGGGTGAATTGGTGAATGCTCAGGAATGATTGGGTGAATGCTCAGGAATGATCGGTTGAATGGGTGAATGCTCAGGAATGATCAGCTGAATGAGTGTATGCTCAGGAATGATCAGCTGAATGAGTGTATGCTCAGGAATGATCAGCTGAATGAGTGTATGCTCAGGAATGATCAGCTGAATGGGTGTATGCTCAGGAAAGATCAGCTGAATGGGTGTATGCTCAGGAATGATCAGCTGAATGGGTGTGTGCTCAGGAATGATCAGCTGAATGGGTGTATGCTCAGGAATGACGTGTATACTCAGGAATGATCAGGTAAATGAGTGAATGCTCAAGAATGACATGTGTATACTCAGGAATGATCAGCTGAATGGGTGAATGCTCAGGAATAATCAGGTAAATGGGTGAATGCTCAGCGTCCAAGTAGTGAAATATATACAGAAAACACGGTCATGCATTACGCCATGGGAACAATGTCCGGAGTATGGCAGAGTGGCAGGAGACCTGCAGGTGGCTTTGGGATGGCCCTATATCTTCATAAAGTAACTGAAGGCGAGTTGCTGTGTGCAGTGTTACATATCACCAATTCTTCAATGAATTCAAATTCCTGTAGGATGTATTCCCATTGTGTGTTGGCTATGTATGGCCAATTTAAAAAACATTTCTAAAGTGTGTTACCATGTTTTCCTTACTGAGATTTTAGTTTGGCACTCTTAAAGATTAAGGACAGTTTTCTGACTGTGGATTCACATTTTAACAATGTCAGATCGTGTGACACTTGATAAACGTGGTATCCATGATGTTTCCAGGGGATATCGTAATAAGCCCTGCGTTATCCCGCTGTGGAGCAACCTGCTGACTTGGGGGCATGAATCTTCTGCCGCGCCAAAAGCTGGGAAATCGGCAGATCGTTGTGCTGGAATCTCGGCGAATCTGGTCGCCGTTCAGCAACTCAGTTTGGTCTCTGTTTTCACGAAGTGTGTTTTGTGTTTTTGCAGAGGGTGGCCAGTTGTCACCGACAGCTGGCTAGTGTCATGGCAACCAGCGGTAGGTGGGTGGAAGGGTGACAGACAGAGCGGGCTGAGGTTGGCTGTGGATCGGGGGGCTGGGGTGCCCCCAGTAAAATTACCTTTCAGTGCAGGTGTCTTTGCTGAGGTGACAGTCATGTGACACAATGTTAGTTTGAAATAAAAAAAAAAAAAATGAACAGACCTTTTTTTACAGACCTTCTTTAACCAATGTGTTCTCATTTTGCACTGACACCAAGAAAGCTGTGACATTTCAAACATTTAAAAATCATGTCAAATCATACAAAACACCCTACATTTTACTGCTAATATGTCTGTCTGTCACTTGCTTGTATAAACCAGACGTTAAGGTGTTGCCTCACAGCTGACAGAGGCACCACGAGCTGATGCTGTCTGGATGTTCCGTTCCCCTCTGCTGGTTCTGTTCTGCCAGGGTTCTCCTCCTCTTAGCCGGTGTTTTTTCGGCGCTGTGACAGATTCTGGGTAATTGTAACGAAACCTTCAGCTGAAGAAGAAGGTTCTGTTAATGACTGACCTGCTTAGCAGCCGGCAGAGTAGGCTGTACAAAGTGGACCTTATTCATGTACCCGGCGACCTTGACGATGTAGCCACTGCCGCATTCCTGCCTTTCCTTTAGTTATTGTTTTGTGTTTTGTAGAAACAAATCACTCCAAAAGACCTCTATACCCCACACTTCATTGAACTTTAAAAGCAATTAAGAGGTTTTTTATAATTAATAATCACCCAATTTATCTTTTCATGACTGCATCCCCATGTGTCTGATTTACCTATTATTTGCTACGAATTTTGATTCCGCTCATTAAGACTGAAGCAGTCTTACAATGGAAGTCTTCAAATTAATTGATTTCGCTTGATAACCTAAAATTTGAAACTTTTAGGTTTCCCTTCAAAGTTGACCCGTTATTTTGAGTTGATGAGGTTTTATTTTGTATCGTCCTTGGTTTTTGAATGACACACCGAAACTTGGATATACAGTATATTATCATTGAAAAAAATCTCTCAAACAGCAGGAAGAATGAGAAGTGGGTGTGTCAAGATAAGTCGATGGCCTGCTTATAAGGTTCTTTTCCCGAGTTACATTTAAATTAGAGCCACTCTCTTCCACTGTTTCCTCTGTTGCTGGAAAACAGAAACAGTACAGTACATGCTGCACTGTAGCAGACTTGAAATCTGATGGTTGAGGCTACTTGGCAGGTTTATTGCACCTTTCACCATGGCACCCTGCATGAAATCTTCCAGTGAAAGTTGCCCTGTTAAACCGAATGTTGTATTGGGTAAAATAATGTTTCTGGTGTTTTTAATAGGAAATATTCATGGTTTTTGTTCATTGATATGACATTTTAATAAATTATGAAGCTGGATTTATAAGGTATACACCTGTGATCTGTGTTTATTGGTATTTATTGTGTAATTCATATAAATAAATATGGCTGTGGTTACCTTAGACAGGCAGATGGCAGGTTGTGGTCAGAGAACAGTGAATCCTGTCCTCTGTGACCCCCTGCCGTTCACCTCTGTGACCCAGACACCTGTCTGCTGCCATGGTTACAGCAATAGACCCAGCAGAACAGGTTTGGTGACCTGCCTCCGGTGCCGTGTCAGCCTCACTCTTTCCAGGGTCTGGTCCAGAGATCCGAGGAGGGCTGGGAGGGTGAGCTGGCGCCCAGAGTCTGGAGAGATGGAGTCTTCCGGCAACATGCCAGTGAGAACTGGTGATCAGACAAAGGAGCATGCAGTGGGGCTGTTTGCTATGTCCCTCTACTGCTACCTGTGCAGTGAGCCTGTTGCTGCGGCTCTCTACTTTTGCAGTGAGCATGTTTGCTGTGTCTCTCTACTGCTGCTTCTGCAGTGAGCCTGTTTGCTGTGTTTCAATAAAAATGCCTCTGCAATGAGCCTTTTTGCTGAGTCCCTCTGCTGCTGCTTCTGTAGTGAGCCTGTTTGCTGTGTCTCTTCTGCTGCCTCTGCAGTGAACCGGTTTGCTGTATTTTTCTAATGCTGCCTCTGCAGTGAGCCTGTTTGCTGAGTCCCTCTGCTGCTGCTTCTGCAGTGAGGCAGTTTGATGGGCTTCTCTAAAGCTACCTCTGCTGTGAGGCTGTCCCTCTACTGTTGTCTCTGCAGTGAGGCTGTTTGCTGTGTTTTTCTAAAGCTGCCTCTGCAGTGAGCCTGTTTGCTATGTGCTTACCGAACAGTTAGTCATAGTTGTACAGTGTTACACATTTCATCCAGTTAAAGTATTTGCAGAAAAAGCTTGTTAAATGCCTTCTTCATGCCGAACTTGACCCAGTGTTCCCAATGAAAACATTTATTGCAGATAAGTATCTGAGGGAAGATCATTTTTCATGTTTTTTTTGTTAAAGTTCTAATACTGCTGTTTGTGCTGAAAATGGCCATGGTGTGGTGGACTTCTTGACCTCTTGACCTCTTGGCTCTCTTTGTGGGGTCCAGGGGGTGGGAGCTTTGCAGAATCGGAGTGTTAAACCACAGAGACCACAGATGATGTCACTGCCTTTTTTCGTCGTTTCATTGCAGCTTGAAGGTACAATTGACACACATTGCACAGGATTTCCTTAAGCTTGCGTCCAGCCAATGGACATGGGCTCCTCGAGATCATGTGATGAGGCCTTCGGAAGATTCTCCCGCCATCAAATATTTTAAGGTTCTTAAGACTTAGTCTTGATTGATTGAAGCCTTCTCTCTCATGGCTTCAGTCGCTGGATATTTTTATTTTATTTATTTTAGAAGCTTAAGGCCTCAGCAACTGATGCCTCGCAAAGCCCCCCGACCTCAGATAGATCAGTTACAGCGCAGAAGGACAGACGCGTCCCTGCTTTTGCCGCCGCAGGCCGAGGCCCCCTGCCAGGCCGTCTCCAGAGCTGCCTGCTTTTCCTGTGAAGCCCATCCAGCAGCAGGTGTCGGTTTTCGCCTCCGTGGCTCGTGCGCGTGTGCACCATAAATAGTTAAAACCCAGCAAATTGTGCCGAGCGCTTTTTCAAGACCCACACCGGGTCCTGAGTAGAGGGACTTGGGACCCCTGGTTTTTTCTTTTGGTGTGGGGGGTGGGGGGGAGCAGAGGAAAACGTAGAAACCTTCTGACACTCTGGCTCTGAGTCCGCATCTGGGGACTCTCCTGGACCCCAAACACAAAAAACGAGTGGAACCACAAACTGGCAGTTTTTTTTTTTTTTTTCTGGAAAGTGTCTTTGGCCCAAAGTGAAAGTTACGAAATGTCCGCTGTAGATTTATGGCGTCGCCGGTGCTCTGATCTTTTATTAAAGTTAGGTTTCGTGCCAGAAAATTTGGAAGCATAAATATACGATGATTGCCATGTGATTATCAGTGGTAATTGCGTGTTGGTGGTGGACACCGCCGGCTGCTCCTCTTCTGTGTGCTCCACAGGGCTGCCAGCTGGGATGGCAGAGTCCCCTCCCCCATTCGCAATATCCAGGTCTCCGCCCCCAGTATCGTGCCCTACTGTGACTGCGCTCAGGTAGGTCACCATCAATTACTGAGTGCCCCCCCCCCCCACCCGACGGGCTTACCCAACTCAGTCTGATCACTACAGAGATTTAGGAAGTGGATTTATTTGTAGTTATTATTCAAGAAGTCAGGCGGAAGTATTAATTACAGTGTGTGGGGACATAGTACCTAATGACCACTGTTTACTGAGGTCCGTAATTTGGTCAGTATTTTCCATGCTTGGGAATTAAATGATGACACTGAACCATGTGGTGACATTGGGGCACGGCAGAGAGCTCCAGGCCGGATGTAAAGTGAAACAGCTTCACCGTGGCCTGAAGTCACCTTGGGGTGACATGCAGTTTACCGTTTAGCTAGTCCTCTTGTTTTTCCCTTCGGATTTCTGGGACCCACCGGAAAAATGACCCAGAACAGTAGATTTTGACCATAAAACAAACACAAACAAACAACCGTATGGACAAGCAAGCAAGCAAACAAACAAGGTAGAAAACGGCAGTTCACGAAATCTGCATTTTTAACGTGTGAGCACCACACAGCGCTCGCTCATAGGGCTGTGGTGGACAACGCAGACGCTGGGATTGGCGAGTCCGGCGGTAGCAATCAGCTCACGTAGCTGGCGCCGCTGTTGGGCCCGCACCTCCAAATGGGCCTTTTGTTCGGCTAGTTGAGCGGCCCCAGCTAATGAGGCGAGCTGCTCTCTGCCGCTCTCATGTTTCAGAATTCAATGAAACTGGATTATTTTTCACTGGTTGAGCGCAAAAAAAAAAAAGACCAGTGCAGATTCTCAGAAGGCAACTCTCCCCGGCCATTTTCCTCGCTTTTTTTGTTTCTTTCTTCTTTTTTGGCTTTAACGTCCTGTTGCCACGGAACCGGGGGAGTGATGGAGGAGGGTTAAGAAGACGCGGATAATGACCCGGCGAGGAATGCGATGTTTATTGCAATATCGAACGGCGCTAGTCTTTAAAACCTAAATGACGCTGTTAAGTTTAATCTTCTTCCTGTTTGGCAGACTAGATTTACAGCTTTGCATTTCGGCTTGGACTGAACCGTGTGTCGTTTCGTCCAGAGCGGTCCTTTGTGCCCGAGACGCTCTGTGGGGTTTCACGTTGGGAGAACGAAACCGGGCCTCGTTTGGGCCACGTTCAGAATCGCAGTGCATTACGTAGGAAGCCTTTACTGCTAGCAGTTGTGAGAAACTGGCTCTCAGCCGTGTCCGTTTGAACTTTAAGGAAACAATGAACGTGCGTTGGGGATGTTTGTGGTGTAAACCGAGAAGCTGACGATTGCCGTCACTTCGAGGCACGTCGCAAAGTTCGTCTGAGAGCCTCTGTGTACGAACTTTTATGATTGTTTCATAACTTTGTGTGGTGGAGGAATATTTTAGTGATATTCAAGCTTGGTGGCTCGGTGAAATTTCAGTCGTGCCACCTAATACTTATTGGGATGTTTTAGTATTGTTTTTATTTATTTTTTTACTAATAATTAACATCTATATATACAACATTTTTTTCCATTTTTTTCCATTGAAGATGTCACCCCTTCACTGTGGCTGATATTTTTGAGGTGTGTGACATCACGCCCTCCAGGCAGGTGGCAGTATTGGCCACCCTCCAGTAGGTGGAAGGTCGGGGGCCATTTGCCTCCATTAGACCCCACCCCACCCCGACAGGCTTTATAATTCAGCACATGCTGCAGGCGTGCAGCCGGTACACGACGTGCTTACTGACAGCAACTGTTTCCAGAGGGCGCTGTTTAATTAATCAGCGAGACACTCGCCCATAGACTTTCGGGTCACTTCGAAAGCCATAGGTAAGCAAAAATACAAACGTCACACTGCCAGTGACCTGACGGGGGCGCCACCTCTCCAGCATGTGATTAAGCTGCCATGTTAGCTGAACGCACGGGCCCTCTTTGACCTGTTAAAGGTGTTAATCTCATGGCGTGAATCTCTCTCTGTCAATTAAATCAGTACCATAAGTTCTTCTCACCAGTATATTCTGAGGCCCGGAGGGGATTGTGTGGTTTCGTTTTACACAGTAATATTAACAATGGTATTAGCAGGAATCATTCTGACAGCGAGGAAGGTCATGAGGTCATTTATGAATTTAGCATCTTTCAGATGTGTTCTGTGGGGCGTGCAGCGCGATTGAGTGAGCCGGCTGATGTGATGGTGGTTTTGGTCAGCGAGGACAATGAGGGTCATTTGTACCTCTTTTTAAAGGGTTAATTTTGAGCTTTTTTTCTTGACGGGGTGACGAGAGCCCCTCCCAGAAGTTGTGGGTCGATTCACCATCGAAGCGGGATGCAGTCAAGTATCTCCGCCAACAGCCCCCCTTTCCGCAAGAGGCCTTTTCATATTGTAATGAGCTGTATTAAGAGAACGCAAGAGCACCGGGTTCGGAATGGCAGAAAGGCAGACCGCTTGCTCCGTCAGTCAAGCATTCTGTCCTGAGATTGTTTCTTGTTTCTGTTTTTATTATTGTTTTAAATTTTTTGAGGGGTGGGGGTAATCTGCTTTGAAGATGAGCTTTGGGACTACATTCATTGAAAGTTATTACAAATTGCGCCCTTTGACTTGCACTAATGCACTGTAATTGCCAGTGTAATTGCCAGTGCTGTATGGCGGCCTGATGGTAATACACTGTGATTTATTTTAGGACGCCATTGCTTTAAATTATACCTTACTTAGCTTGGTAGTGCTAAGTAACATGTTAAACGTGTTACATTTGATGAAATACTATGCAGATGTTATATAATAATTACGTATAATTGGATCAGTACAGTTTTACTGAGTAAAAACCTCTGGTAACCTTATGGGGTGGCACAGCATGGGCTTGTGGTGTAGAGGAACACCGAGTGGTTTGTAGGTTCGAATCCACGTATGTTTCCCCTCACGTTTCCGCTGGTTACTCTGGTTTCCTCCCAAGGTCCAGTTTAAATGCACTGTGATCCTTAACTTGTCTGGAATCTGTAAGTGTCCTTCATAGTGTCTCCTGCAACATTCCCATTGTTAACTGGGACAGGCTGCAGGCTAGCTCTGATTGGCTAGCTCTGATTGACTAGCTCTGATTGGCTAGCTCTGATTCTACATTGGATAAGCAGTAATGGAATGCAGTTGGAATTACTAGATGCACATTTTTACTAATGATCTGGTATGACCGAGACT